GGTGACAGGCCTCTTATCGTCTTGTTGGTTGGGGTTAGCGAAGGTCTTTGAGGCGAGAACTTTGCGGCGGATCTCGGCCATTGCGTCCTCGTCATCTGAGTCGTCAGATATTGCATAGCGATCCTTTTCTTCCTCCTCCTCCTCCTCTTCTGGCTGAGCTTTAGGGGGCTTCTTGCCAAGATATATGCCATCCACGCTTCCCTCTTCCTCTTCCTCTTCGTCACTGTCATCCTCTTCATCGTCGTCGTCGTCAGAAGATTGAATACGTCTTCGATTGGTATTTCCGCTGGTCCACATATCGTCGTTTCCTTCCTCCCGACTCTCCGCGTATTCCTTCTCCAGTTGCTCCATCCACTCTTCTTCAGTCTTTTTTATCTCGGCCTCGTCAGCACATGCAGCATATCGCTTGAGCAAGCTGTGGTTGATCTCGAGGAAGGATGGTCCGTATGAAAATGGGGCAAGAATCTGCTCCGCCCAATCTGAGTGACCACAAATATAGAAAGCTGCAGCCAGCGCTTCAACACAGTTCAGGCGCCAGGGCTTGCCATAGTTGACCGTATTCGCAGCGACGAGGTACGGCAACAACCGCTCACACTTCCCACCGACTTTGTTCCACTGAACCTCCTGCGTCCTCGCCCAAGAGCACTCTACAACAGCAGCGCCGTACTGGTCCATGAGCTCGCGATCGGCGGGGGAGACGGTATGTTTGCCGTTGGGCGTGATGATGACTCCGTTATGGCGTTGGCCGAGATGCAGGTCGCGCATCATTCCAAGTTTCATGAGTTTCTTTCCGGAACAGCGTTTAGGATCGCAATGGCCGAGATCCCAACATGCGGCTTTGAAAGCTGGGCGCGAAGAACCATCACCATCATCATCACGGCGGGGTCCTCGTCGCGGGGTTGGGCCTCCCTTTCTACCCTTGGAGGCGAAATCCTTTTTGTGACGAACCATTTTGGATGGGTTTGGCGGATACCTGATGTTTTGTGGTACCTATTGTTCGGAGGGTATGTGTTGTTGATGTTTTAACACGAGTAATGCAGACGTCAAAATTAATTTTTGCCTCGTCCAAAAAGCTACCTATGGATGATGGGTTGATAAGGTTCTCATGGTGGGGTTGATTGATTCCGTCAGTCAGCGAGGGGCAGCAACTCGAGAGGGCACTGAGCGCTGGGGTCCCCCTAGCACTTTGTAAGCGACCTACCTAATAATGGAAGACTTCAGCATCAAATCCGCTATGACGCCGCTGTAACAGGGGCCTACGGAAGGGATGCGAGAAAACCTAGGACCTTGATCTCAAGCTAAATAAAGACTTAGATACGTTAGCATAAGTTTAGAGTGGCTCGTTGATGAGTTTATTCTGGCATCCTATCTCGATTTTTCTTGTTGTCACCTCAGCTTACAATAGTCAATTCCTTAAGGCACTAAGCTGATTGGCTGCTTTTTCCATGTCTGCGCCACAGAGCCACATCTTGCCTCCATCTTAATAGGTACCTTGAGCACCTACTAACTTCCATATCATCGTGTTGTCTACAGGTCCCTTGGCCGTTGGCGACGTATACAAGTTCGAAGACCATAATATGGCAAGAGAGGTTTTATTTTGAATCAAGAACTTGTGTCCTTTCCTTTCCTTTTCTTTTCTTTTCTTTTCTTTATCCTTGTTTCACCTTGATTGCCGTATCTATTTGCCTTGTTTGTTCTTTTAAGCTGTTTCCGTAGGCTTGCTCCGTATTCGGTCGACCACTGGGCTGGGCTACCTCACCTACCAGGAGCTCCCCGCCAGACTCCGAGGGCACCTATAGTACTGGACTCCGTCCGTTAGTAGGTCCAGTTGACCAGCTCACCCTTCTATCAACGTAGCACTACCTCGCACCCGTCGTCCTCGACCAACGCGCGCACGCAAAATACCGCGAATAACATCGTCATTCTGTGCGTGCATAACAGTATTTTATATTCGCAATGGAGGCCGCTTCAGCTCGCGCAGCGGCTCGCGACCGTTGGGGCGATCTGCCATCATCTGGCAGAACCCCCTCCCAGCTCCAGCGCTTCATCCAGGCTGCCTGCAGTCCCGAGAACTACGAACCCAACCTCGCCCTCAATCTCGAGATCGCCGACCTTGTAAACTCAAAGAAGGGAACTGCTCCTCGCGAGGCTGCTACTGCAATCGTCAACTACATCAATCATCGCAACCCCAACGTGGCTCTGCTCGCCTTGGGCCTTCTTGACATATGTGTTAAAAACTGCGGATACCCCTTTCACCTACAAATCGGCACAAAGGAGTTCCTCAATGAGCTCGTCAGAAGGTTCCCCGAACGGCCGCCAATGCGCCCTACACGAGTCCAGGCCAAAATCCTCGAGGCGATTGAGGAATGGCGAGGGACGATATGCGAAACGAGCCGATACAAGGAGGATCTAGGATTCATTAGGGACATGCACCGGTTATTGAGTTATAAAGGATACGTCTTCCCTGAAGTGCGGAGAGAGGATGCTGCTGTATTGAACCCCAGTGATGTAAGTTGATTCGCTTCTGCACGATATGTGTCCCATACTGAACAGATCATGTAGAACCTCAAGTCCGCCGAAGAAATGGAAGAGGAAGAGCGAGAGGCGCAATCAGCTAAACTTCAGGAACTCATTCGTCGCGGCACCCCCGAGGATCTCCAAGAAGCCAACCGACTCATGAAGATCATGGCTGGCTACGATACACGGTCAAAGACCGACTACCGCGCAAAGGCTGCTGAGGAGGTTGCCAAGATTCAGGCTAAGGCGCGATTACTAGAGGAGCGACTCGACTCCTTCAAGGAGGGCGACAAGATGGAAGATGGTGATGTCTTCAGCGAATTGGCTGCTGCCCTACAGAGTGCACAGCCTAAAATCCAGAAGATGTGTGAAGAGGAATCTGACGACCACGAGGCTGTCGCCAAGCTGCTCGAGATCAACGACAGCATACACCGAACAGCAGAGCGGTATAAGCTGATGAAGAAGGGTGATATAGAGGGCGCTGCAAAGGTTGCCGCTGGTGGGCCTCCCCCCTCTGCTGCTGGAGCTACAGCATCGTCTTCAAGCGCAGCGAATGAGCTGTCTCTCATCGACTTTGATGTTGATGCCAGCAGTAATGGTGCTCAGTCAAACAATGCCGCTGCGCCCTCTGCGAGCGCCGGAGGCCTTGAGAATGACCTCCTCGGCCTAGATATTGGCGGAGAGTCGAGCAGTTTCGGGCAAGGCGGCGGTATTGCTTTGGGCTTCGGCGCAAACCAAAGTAAGTTGCCAACACAAACTCCCCGTGCCCATTGCTATACTAAACCGTTTATCAGATATTCCTGGACCTGCGCTATTATCTTCCATGACCCAGGACAACTCTGCCCGAGGTCAAGTTTCAACTCCAACTCCTCCCCCCTTTTCACAATTCGCCTCCTTCTCACAGCCCGTCTCTCAATCGACGACACCTCAGCCTCGCTTCCAACAGCAGCCTCCTCCCCCATCACAGCCCGCCTCCGATCCATTCGCTATTCTTGGTGCTGGTAACTTTAACTCTCAACGTGCATCTCCTGCGCCCCCTCAACCACAACCCGCTCCTACAGCCAACGATGATGACGAGTGGAACTTCTCCTCTGCCCTACCCCCAGAGCCAAGCAAGCCCAAGGAGCACCAGGCTGTTGTGAGCAACACAAATGTGAAAATTGAGATGATTGCCAGGCGAGCACCTGGCAATGAGAACGCTATTAACATCGTCTTTGCCTTTTCCAACAACGTGACACAGCCCATCGGCGAATTTCACTTCCAGCTCGCCGTGACCAAGGTAAGCATACCCTTCATGCTTGCTGACATGGCATGAACTGACATAAACCCAGGGCTACGAACTTCAGCTCAAGCCTCAGACTGGTCGCGATCTTGCCCCCCAGCAAAATCGCGGCATCACGCAGGAGGTGCAGATCTGGCACGCGGGCAACCGCGTTCAAAAAGTCACGAGCGCCAAGCTGCGGTGGCGTGCCTCATATAAGACCGGCGAACAGACCGTCAACGAGATGGGTGAGGTCACCGAGTTCAGCCTCCCATAAGAGCAGTGGTTTGCTTCCCGGGATAGAGGTGGGCAGTATATGCCGGAAGTAAGTGAAAGAGTGGGATGGGAATTTTAAGAAGAGTTGAAGGAATACTTTCTCGTTTGTTTGTCTGTATGAACTGGAGCATAGGACAGAAGAGAAAAGCGAGACAGCGGATGCTTTCTGATTTGTCAAGTGGGCAGCCAGTTGCCTGGAATGATATGCGTATTGTGATGGTGACAGGCTTGTTCGCAAACTTGAGACGTTGGAGAATACATTTGGATTCAGATCATGAATGACAGAAATTTGTTCACAACGAAACGCTATTAGAAGTCCACGTCTGTGATTTCGGTTACCAGGGCAAAGTGCAATTTTGATATAGGCTCGTTACTGCTATATTCATCAGACCATCATCTTTTACAATTGTTCAACTCCAACTCTAACATCTAATACCGCTGAACTAGTCTTCTTGTGGGAAGTGCCCGAATGGTTGTAACCCCTTGTCTGGCTATTCTCCTTTCAAAAGCCACCATTGTCTGAGGGCGAATTATCAATCATCTCTGGTCTTTTCTTGCTTCATGACTGGGGCCACCCATGTGTCATCCGTCTGCAAGCATATAAACCAGGTAAACGCCTGTAGTCCCAGGATCAAATCTCTCACACGCCAATACTCCCACAAATCTGGAAACCTCATAAGGAGGCCATGCCGGATCATCCATGATCCGCAAAAAAGCCTCGGAGAGTGCAAAACAAAGGAAAAAATGGGGAGGACTCGGGATTCCCGGTGTAAGTAGTTGTGGGCGGTGTATGCTGCCATAGCATGATGACAGAAAGTTAAGTGTGCTGAGTTGGAGCACACCTTTTGTTTGAATGTTGTTTCTCTTTTCAAGAGTGTTACGCTCAACGCTGGCGTCGAAGATTTTATGGCGTGAAACGAGAACCATTTGCAGATGACGAAGGATTCTAAGCCCCTAACTCGCTCACAGCGAAGGATGGCGTGGTTGGGTTTAGTGAGTGGCCACCCTGGGTAGGTGTCTTGGCCATTTGGGCCATTGTTTCGCGCTCAGCCTTCTCGCGTTCCCGTTGTGCCTTCTCCTGCTTAGTGATACGGGGTTTTCGGGTGACAGAGCCACCTCGAGATCCAGGTCCTCCGCCGCGGCCGCTGCCTGTCCCGCCTCTGGTCGACGCACCTCTTCCACCTCCCCTGCTACCTCTTCCACCCCGTCCACGCTTAGGGGGACCATCATGGCTATTACTTGTTATTGCTTGATCACATAAGACAAAAAAGGAAGATACATACCCAGCAGCTGGCTTCTCGACCTCGGGTACAAGAGGGCCGGAGTAGACAAAGAACCCGTCACGGCTTGCTGCCGCCTGAGCTTCCCATAGGAGCTCTGAATCGTCGACAAAATCATCATCAACATCGTACTGATCCTCCTTGAAATTACGCTTCTTCTTGGGCTTGGCCTGGGCATCAGGGCCGCTGGTCGCGCCGTTGTCGGGGTTGCTAGCCTCGGCATCGGAGAGATCGACGGACATTTCATCACCAGATTCGCGGCCCGATTCCGCCTTTTCTAGAGAGGCAGCCGCCGCAGCGATGCGAGCCTTGCGGTCTCGGTTGGCAGCCAGGCGAGGGTGAAGAGCATCCCATCCATACCGTTCCTCAGCCATGCGCATGAAATTGACATATCTGTTTGTCTCGCCAGCCTGGATAGGTATACTGAGAACAATGGTTGGGGCCTGGGCTTCTTCCCCTGGCTTAGCTCGACCAAAGTCGAGAATGGAACGGCCTTCACTTTCTCCCATATCATCGAGGGTGTCAGTCTTTGGCGTGGAAACTCCAGTGTGAGGCTTCTGCTTTGGCGATGACTTCTTAATAGGGCCATTAGAAATGGTTGTGAAGTTAGATTCTTTGATGACTGGCCTTTGAACGGGTGGTGGTGGAGGTGGTGCATCCTTCTTTGCTTCCTGCACTGGTGGTCGCGAAGAAGGAGTTGGTGTCAATATGCCGCGAGGGTCTTTGGATGGTGATGGTGGTTGGGATGGTTCATGTGCCTGGAAGCGAGACTGGTTCGAGGGTGGCTGATATGAGCTGCGCGATTCATTCCCACCAAGAAGGCTAGCAATGGTTGGCGATCGATTAGGCACTTGAGAAGCAGGTCTTGGTGAACCAGAAGTAGACGGGTAAGGGCTATGAGAAACCATTGTCTCACGAACAGGATCGTAGTTACCGCGGATAGGATCGTAGCTTTGACCGCTGGTACGAACAGGTATAGATGTAGAGCTATTATGCTGAGACTGAGGTTGGGTCTGGGGTTGAGACTGTGGTCGTTCCACAGGCGTATCCGAATTTAATATGTTCTGCATAAAGTGTTCACGCTTCAACATCTTTGGTGAATAACGTTGTTCGGGTTGATGTAATGAAGACGATGTTTGGCGGTTATGATGAGCAGGTGACAATGCTGATATATGGGAGATATCCGACATGCGTCCCTGGCCGGCGGATGATGCAGCTTCGGCAAGAGACTTTGAATCTCCCGGGATTTCACTCTCGCCATCTGCAGGGGCAATCTTTCTCTTGCGTGGCAATGCTGGCGCATTAGGATCGCGAGGTTTCCTAGGCTTTCGAGAAGCCTTTGCTGCATCGGCACCGTCCGAATTTCGAGGTTTCACAATGGTACCAGGTTTCCGTCCAGGCTTCTTGCGCGGCACACCTGCAGCGGTTAATTGGACCCATTGGTTGTCGACAAGTGCGTATCGTCTAGGGGGGCCTGTGCCTGATTGGGGTGGCATAGGCGGTGGAGGGCGTTCGCTATGATTCTGGTGGCCGATGTGTTGATATTGGCCATCGCTGGAAACGACGACGATCTCGTCATAGTCTTGCGGTGCTCGGCTACCGGATCCATTTCGTGATGGTGAACCAGGTTCTGATAGCGATCCGGAAGGAGGCGATGATAGTTCGCCGGCTGATGAGTCGTATCGTGACATAGACGTGTCGGCGCCTGTCGCAGCCATGCCGAGGTGTAGAGAGGCAACGAATAGCCTTGTGCAGCGCGTATTACAAGAATGTGAATAGAAACACCAATACAGGCGGTTATTGCATCTGACAAATTGATTGCCAAAATTGGAAACAGAGGATATTAATGCTAGAAGTGGGCAAAGGAACCTCGCATTTGCAGCATCAAAACCCAAGGATCAGATAAAGCGTCGCGTAGGGCAAGGCTGTGATTCAAACCATCGAATGTCGATAAGGCAACGAATAGCGGTCGACGGGTGGTAGTGAGTGGTACACGCTAAATGGCACCGAAATGCAGCGTCAAAGTGAGTACCAGGTACAGCGAATAGAAATGCCTGGATCTATAGCGTGCGGGCCTCGTCAGAAACGGAATGGTTGCAAGCGGGAAAGCGTCCAGTCGGAGAGTGACGAGGTGAAACGAGCTGTGAGTGGCCAGAATGTGGAGTGCAGGTGCGGGCGGTGGAGTAGGTCGAATCTCTGAATAGCCTCAAGATCTCGGGTTGGGAAACGACTTTGGCAGTGAATGCAGCCTTCCAGAAGGAAAAAGTGAGCCGGCTGCAGGGTACACGTCGCTTGGAGGACGTCAAGAGGTACTGCCACACCAGGCGCAGAAAATAACGACAATTTGGAGATGATTGAGATGTGCAAATAGTGTCAAATTGATGAATTCTGACGAATTCGACGATAAAAACCACTGGTCGTTGTTGGGAAAAATATGTGGGAGGTGGATGTTTGAGTGAGAGAGAGGAGGGAAAGAAGGGAAGAAAAGGGAGGAGAAATGAGATGGGGATGGCTACGTTTTTTTTCGGGGCGACGACAATATTTCTTATTTTCCAGGCCAGGAAGGAGAAAAACGGGGCAGGCCAACAGCTTCTCTTGTTGCCAGCAGCTAAATAAGAATGCTACGACTCGGAAACAACAAGAACGACGAGACGAGACGAGACAGACAAGGCACAAGGTACGGTACGAGAAGAAACGAGCGAGGGGGGAGGGGGCGGACCATGACAAGCATCACCAGAAGAAAAGGAAGGGAAAGGACAAAAGGGAAATTGTATCAAAAACCGCCGAGGGGCGTGGCTAACTCTAGAACAACCAACCTAATGAGATGGGACTCAAAATAGGCATCGACAACACCAGGGAACCAGCTAAGTTAATGGTGATAGGGGGTCTACCAAGTAATTAGGTCATGCCATGGCATTGGATGCTGGGGACGGATGGGACAGGACAGTGCAGTACAGAGTCAAATCCATCAGAGGGAGCAAGTGAAAAGAGCCAGCAGACCCGAGCTTAGCGGGGGGGAGAATGAGTAAGATGTAAGTTAATGGTAGACTCAAAAAGACATGCATAGGCGGAAGTGATAGAGAAAACAGACTTCCATGCCCGTTGACGCACGGATACATATTTTCTTTAGAGTAAAGGTAAAGGTAAAGGTACCGACCAACTCAGATTCCATGTGTAACATCCGTAGAACATGACAAGGGGGGTCGGGTCACCTTTCGCAGGTGAGCTGAGGGGATAAGAAAAGGCGAGGCTCTGAATATATTACAAGGTCTGCTTATAGTGGAAGTCTGGTACGGCACTTGGCCAAGTATTTTTGACACCCTCATCCAACCACCGAAACTTTTCTTACTCCCCAGGGCAGGGTTGAGGTTCCATTCTTAGGTAGGTACCTTAGTACATACCTTGGGTAGCGTGGGGAAAACTGCCTGCCTGCAGTGGACTGTGGACTCCAATCAATCTCTCGGTTTCCATTGTGACATGTATCCTTTTGTACTACCTCAGAGCGCTATCTCTTGCAACACGTCATTTATCCGCTCACCTCTCAGCTGCAACAGTCATACCAAAATCACAAGCAATAACGGCCTCGTGATATTGATCAATTCGTTCAGAGTCAGCACCAACTTGACTAATCACCTTCTTACCTAGTGACAAACATCCCAGTCCAGCCCAGCCCAGCCCATCGCAGCGATGAACTGCCCCCCCCTTGAATGGTGTGGACCATCTAATCCCGAAACCAGAATCGTTGAACCAAGCTTAGGCGCGGCACGTCGACAGGGATCCAACGCGGCTGCAGTAATGGCTGCATCAGCCACAAGTTTGTTTTTTTCGGCCAAGGTGCTACTTGAATGTGGCTTTTTTTGTAATTTGTTCTTTTTCCAATCTTCTGAATAGCCTCCCAATTTGCAGTTTGAGGCTGATATGAATATGTATCGTCATGGACTTCAGAGGGATTGTTTGTGAGTTTTCTCCATTGATGTTGAAGCTATCGGTCATTCGGCCATCAAATGATGTTGCAGGGGTTAGAACTCTACACGGTACTGTACGCCATGAATATTGTACCTGTCATCCACTGTTGCCTCTTGGAACTCATTGCTTAAGTACCAGAGATTCGTTTGTGACGTTTCCCTTTGGTAATCAGACTCTATTCATTCCACTAAATCCGACCGCGTCAACCTTGACTCCGCCCGATTTCCAGAGGCATTCATTTCTTGACGACTAGCGAAAATACAAACACGTAAAAGTTCAGCAAGAATAGGGGCGCATAATAAACACTCGAACTCTCCTGGGGCTTGTTTTGTTACAAACAAATTGCATCGAGTACCACATCAGAAAGCTTAACGATTGAAAGCCACAGATGACAGTCTGAGCATGGTTCTGTGGCACAAGGGTTCTGGAACTCAAGAGGAACGAGAATCGATCGGCGCTAATGCACCACTATCCCGGTCTAATCTGTGGCGGTGCGACATACCCTCACAATTAAAATCGTCTGTCTCAGGAAACGAAACTCAAAAGCCCTGTTCCAGTAACAAATGCACATATGATATTATAGCAAATTCTTTTGAGGGTAGCAGGAATTTCGGAAAAGTGTCAAGGGTTGTTTTTATATTGGCAGGGTCTTCTTCTCATTTGGGCACAGAACGATCAATAGAGGAAAACCGGGGACTGAAGCTCGAATTTCCAATCCTCAGTACCTTTTACGAGTCATAACGTGTTTTCGCCTGATAAAATACATCCACAAATAACAACTCGGGATACTTTCTCCTTCTCTGGATAGACTGGCACAACCTTGATTATTTTGTATTTTGTCTTGTTTATTCTTGGAAGCTTAGTATTGGTATTTCCATAAATGCTCCATTAATCCAAGTCATTCAAATCCTTGCACGTGGCACATTCAAACAAACGCGCTACTGGATGTGGGGTCACACAAGGCCCCTGACCCACAAGCATTTCTCCGCGGTTCTCTCCACTGACTAAAGATAAAATAAAAAAAAGACGTCAGATCCAAAGCTAGAGAGAGATCTCGTCCATGCTGACTGCGTATACATCACCAGAATGGATCCGACACTTTTGATCAACGACATCGTTGAGCACGATACTTCCACAAAGAAGCCTGCTGAGTTTAACGACCTGCCTATATCCTCTACCGGTTTCCCTCAACATAAAAGAAGATGGAAGACCTCCGCCTTCAAGCAGAAGCGCGCCGGAGCAGCCGGATCAACAACGCCTGCCGAACAACCTAAAGCCGGAAAGCCATCTCAAGCTTCGTCTTCAGATGTAGATTTTAAGGATATTGAGAGACAACGCATAGACCAGGAGAACCAGCAGAAGATTGCAAATATGACGCCCGCCGAGATCGCTCAAGCCCAAGAAGATATCATGAACGGTTTGAACCCGGCTCTCATTCAAAGGTTGCTATCGCGGGCCAATATCGAAGAGCCTACTGGTCCCTCGCCTTTTGATGCACCAAAACAAGAGAAACAACAAGAAGCACAAGACCCTCCACCTTCGATTAAAGTCGAAGACGCTGCCACGAACGAAGTACCGGGGAGCACCTCGGCGACTACACCCCACGCTCGCAAGGCCTCAATAGATTCGGCATCGCAAAGTTCCCATTCAGTTTCCCAAGAACCTTCATTAAAAAAGGTGTCGGATCACTACGATGAAGACAAAGCTCCGACGCAAATACCACCCGATCTGTTTCCTATTACCGACCAACCCAAGTCGGTTCATTTTCCTGTACCACCAGCTTTGGCCGATCTCGACGCTTCCGACCCGAATTTCTTAGAATCGCTGCACAAGAAATATTTTCCCAATCTACCCGCCGACCCTAGCAAGCTCGCATGGATGGCACCTATTCCTACCGAGGACAGCCCGGCTGACAAAGACTCCTCATACTATCCGCATCCCGAGATCGCTGTCAACGCTCTGCGCTTCGACCTTCAGGGCCGATTCTTATCGCCAAGAGTCAGCCGATCCATTCCTTCTTCGAAGGGTTTACACCACCACGGCGATGCCCCCGAGGCTGCAGGATACACAGTTGCGGAGCTAGCTCATCTTGCCAGAAGTGCTGTTCCTGCGCAAAGATGTATGGCTTTCCAGACATTGGGGAGAATTCTCTATCGTCTCGGACTCGGTGAGTGGGGCAAGAGTGAGGATGACCCTATTGCTATGGGAATCTGGGCAGCTGTCAAGAAGGGAAGGGTCCTCGATAGCTTGACTGAGGCTGCCATGAACGAAGGCGGTCACAGAGGAAGCCGAGTCTACGCTACTGAGGCGTTATGGCTGTTTGAGAAGGGTGGCTGGAAGGAGAAATTCAAGGGCAGGTGATCGTGCCATTCCCGTTCTACAACAACTTGGTTACATGACTGATTCACGATAATGAGACAGCAAAATACAACCTGTATTTGATAGAGGAACAGCACCTTGTCCGATGTTGGAACACGTGCAGACCCATCGATCCAGTTTATTGACAGCATCGGTGCTATAAACTCGGCTCGTCAATGCCAATTGGTGCCACGTAGCCATGATAATAAAAGATGTAGCAGGTGCTTGGCGTGGCAGACATCGGACCATGCATTCTTTGAGTAATAACAGAGTCCATTGGTTTTGTTTTGGGTAGTGATTCACTTATCTTCCACTACCTAACTATCAAAGCTTAACCAGGCGTAGGATGAAGGTTGACGCAATACCTTGTCACAAATGATCAACAGAGGCACCACAGACAGACCTTACATACCATAACTAAAAGGGGGGACTATGTGGTTGATGGCGTGACTATAGCCAATGATAACATGTTCTATGGAGTTCAAGCTGATGAATGGAATAAACACGCTCAAAACAACTATGTGTATCAAAAGCACAAGGGGCTCTTGTGACTCGAAGGCAATGGCTTATTAGCACTTGGAATAGAATAAAGGATCCAATGCATTTGGTGCTCCCGTTGAAAGAGCCTAACAGATAAGGAAAGGTTCGGGGAGCACTCGACGATCTTAGCACAGTTGGCTGTGGTTTCTGATCAAAGAGAAATCTGGAGCCGCATGCACAGTAAAAATAGGTCAGGTAAGTAAGGTAGGTTTCTGAACTCAAGTGAGACAGTGTGAAAGCCGAGTCAAGGGCGAACGGTTGGCGGTGATTATGCGGTGTGTGGCTAGGTTGTACCCGTTAAGAAACAAAAAGGGAGGCCACCTCAGCGGGAGCCTCCACTGGGCTTGGGCACTGGGCTGCCTACCACCTACCACCTGGGCTACCTTACGTAGGTACGGAAAAAAAAGAATGGGAGCCTGGTCCGGCCTAACGAAAAAAAAATCCATATTTACCTATGCTTGGTGGCCAAAGCCGTCAACTTCTTTCTCTTCCCTCTTGTTTCGTTTCCCTTCAACCAAAAACATCACGGCACTGCCGCGCCAATTCCTCCTCCTTCTCCCTCCCTCTGGGTGACTTGCCGTCTTCTTTTTATCTTCCTTCCGGTCATCGAATCAGTCAGTTCTTGTCTTATAACTTCGCTTTGTCGGCTTCGCTCAATCGCAATCGATCGATATTCCCCCGCCACTTTTTGTTTGTTGCTCCGCGACGACTTCAAACAACAACTCTCGATCCAAACCCTTTGCGAGTCGGATCCAGCGCTCTTGATCCCCTCTCAAGCGACTATTTGTACTGCTCTTCGTTGCGCAGTCAAAGAAAAAGGACAACGCTTTTGGCATTTTGCTCTCCCGCTTACTCGCCCAATCCGAATCTGAGCCTAAGCTTTCTGCCCCACGATCGCGATCTACATCGACCGTCGATAAGTGCACGCACACGACACGACAGAACTTTTTGACAACCGGCCCCAAAAAAGACTTACGCAAGACACGAGACACTGTGACTTTCACTAGCCATGGCGTCTCCGCTGCAGTTTGCCTACCGAACCCAGAAGGACATCGGCATCACCGACGCCGCGCCCGTCTATCAGCCTCTCGCTGGGTTCAAGAAGCCTGAAGGTAACCTCCGGTGCTGTACCTACTCGCCATGTGGTCGCTACTTCGCTTGGGCCTCTCCCGAGGCTGTCACTATCATTGATCCCTCAACTTCCCAGCAGGTCCTCTCCCTCCCCATCTCCAACGTCTACGAGCTCGGTTTCTCTCCTCGCGGTACTTTCGTCATCACCTGGGAACGCCCTGCCAAGGATGAGAACGGAGATGCCACCAAGAACCTCAAGGTCTGGCGTGTTGTGGAGGAGGATGTCTCCGGTCAGGACAAGCAGCCCCTCGGCCGCTTTGTTCAGAAACAGCAGCAAGGCTGGAACCTTCAGTACACAGCTGATGAGAAGTACTGTGCTCGTCTCGTTACAAATGAAGTCCAGTTTTACGAGAGTCACGATCTCGTCAAGGTCTGGAATAAGCTCCGAGTCGAGGGTGTCACCAACTTTGCTCTTGCTCCTGGCAGCCAAAACCACGCCGTTGCCGTCTTTGTTCCCGAGCGCAAGGTCAGCAAATAACCAAAGCAATTTTCAAGAAGGGTATACTGACAACTTCCAGGGCCAACCCGCTGCCGTCAAGGTCTTCAACGTCCCTCTTTTCACCAACCCAATCTCCCAAAAGACCTTCTTCAAGGGAGACAAGGTCCAGCTGAAGTGGAACAAGCTTGGCTCCAGCCTTCTGGTGCTGGCCCAAACCGACGTTGATCGCTCAGGCAAGAGTTACTATGGTGAGACCACGCTGTATCTGCTCAGCACCACCGGTGCTTTTGATGCCCGCGTGTCCCTGGATAAGGAGGGTCCCATTCATGATGTTTCTTGGTCCCACAACTCGAGAGAGTTCGGTGTTGTGTATGGTACCATGCCTCCCAAGGCCACCATCTTCAACCACCGGGCCGTTGCAACGCATTCCTTCCCGATTGCTCCTCGCAACACTATTACTTTCTCGCCAAACGGTCGCTTTGTTTTGGTAGCAGGTTTCGGCAACCTTGCTGGTCAGATCGATGTTTACGATCTCGAGAAGGATTTCCGCAAGGTTACCACTTTTGAGAGCGGTAATCCCAGCGTCTGCGAATGGAGCCCTGATAGTCGCTACATCATGACTGCCACAACCTCTCCCCGACTCCGTGTTGACAATGGCGTCAAGTTATGGCATGTTAGCGGCAATCTCATGTATAACGAGGATATGGTCGAGTTATACAATGTTGTCTGGCGACCTCAGGGTCCCGAGAGCATTGCTCCCGGTGACCCTTTGGCCCCCATTCCTACGCCTCATGCCTCTGCTACGGCCTACCTGGGCTCGGTCAAGACTCCCAGCAAGCCCGCTGGTGCCTACCGCCCTCCCGGCGCCCGGGGTCTGGCCACTCCTCTGCACTTCAAGCGTGAGGATGAGGGCGGTGCCGCCCACGTTGTGAGCAACGGACTACCCAACGTCGGTCCGAACGGTTTTGGTCGCCCTCGCCGCGCTGTGCCCGGTGCTGATTTGGCTGATCAAGCTCCCACGGTTAGGACCGTCCCAGGAGCTGAACCCTTAGGCGATGAAAACTCGTCCAAGTCTAAGAACAAGAAGAAGAGAAACAAGAAGAATGCTCAGGGTGAGGGCCGGCCTCAAGGCGAGCCTAACGGTGGAGCTAGCCTGGCGCCTCCTCCTCACGACCGAGGTCACGGCTCCGGCCACGAGGGTCGCAGCCCCGAGCGACGAAATCACCGTAACCGGAGCCAATCGCGTAACAATCAGGCCCGAAGCCGCAGTAACACTCACCGCAACGGCCATGGACACCATGCTCATGCAAGCCAGGGTGCCGGAAGTGGTGCTCCTGATGCAGCACAGAACCCTAACGCTAAGAAGATCCGCAGTCTCCAGAAGAAAGTTCGCGCCATCGAGGACCTTGAGATGCGTCTGGCTGGTGGAGAGAAGCTCGAGGATACCCAGCTTAAGAAGATCAACACCAAGTCGTCCGTGCTTAAGGAGCTCGACGGATTGGAGAAGGGGAACTAAAGGACGAACGACTTTGGGGGTTGATAGGGGACAATACTTTTGGGTGATTCTTTAGCAGATGTGACATGTAGTAATAGGTTGGAATCTGTCAGATTGGGAGTGTTGGCGAGCCACAGCGGACTCTGTGATATTGGGCTGTGCTTTGTTGGACACCTGCTCGGCGTGGATAGGTCGACTTTGTGGTTCTTCTTATGAAGACAGTCAACCAGGGAGTCTCAAAAGTCATTCGGATTACGGGAGACTTGGTCGGCGTACCATAGTCTGACAGCACAAAATCGCAAGAAAAATGAATTTTTTTGTCTACAGAAATCTTGAATTCCTATGGCGAGATTTTGCAAGAACTTTTTGTGTTTAGTACGTAAATGCAATACCCTATGGCTGGCGATGGAAACGATCAGAGCTCATATATACATCTCTGGCTTGTCGTATTAAATATCAAGCCTCGATACGAGGCCCGGTTAGCTCAATCGGTAGAGCGTGAGACTCTTAAATGAGTACACCATCTCAAGGTTGCGGGTTCGACCCCCGCATCGGGCTGTTCCTATGTTCCAATTGGGATTGAGTAATCGTTAATTTTTTTTATAAAAAGTTTTTGAATATTGAGTACAATTGAACTTGTGGTTGGTGGTAAACTGAACCGTAGTGTTGTTATCGTAATGAGTTGTGTGGCCTGGTATGTAAATAAGGCAACCGCTGGGTTTACGGTTGAAACATAAAACAAGTGATCACCTAAACTTTATTGTCCATGGAGCAACAACGTAACAGTTACATTCACAAAGTAGCATGTATTTCCCAACTTCCATTTCAGAGTGCTTTATATAAGGTACTGTACACGATTACGCATGCTTTTTTCATCATCAATCACCTGCTGTCTTCTCCAACACTCCTTCTCCCTCTGTCTTTGGATTCTCTGCTTCTCGTTGCTGCTTCTTTTCAAGCTTCTTCTGATACTTGGCTCTCTTCGCATCAAGTCGATCCTGCTCCTCTCTCAAAGCCCTAATGGCTGGACTCTTTGCTCTGATCTTGGCTCCGTATCGCCAGAACACGAATGGAATCGGAATCATAGCTACCTCGAGGAGGCCCAGAAGTGTTCCAGCCCATTGAGGGGTCATGGCGGCGTACATCTTAGGACCAGCCAGGGGCAAAACACCGCCAGCAATACTGCGAATGACAGCGTTTCCGGCGAGCGCACTGGCAGCGTATATGGAATACGCGCCAGCCAGATAATTCGAGCCGTAGATGAAGCTGATGGTGTTGCCTGCACCGAAAGGGATGCCGAAAGCGATCGGGATAGCCCAATGAATGGTCGCTGGCAGGCATGTCCACGAAAACACAAGCTGGCCGATCGGGGTCAGGATGGCGCCAATGGCCATGACTAGAGCCGTTGCTTCAGGCTGAGGCCTGCCAGTGACTGGATCTCGAGGCTGAGAGTTGATCAGTCGCCGGAAAAGAGGCTCTGCGAAGATGGCAAGCATGGTTCCGACGCCGATGCCCACAAAGGCCAGTCCTGACATGCCTGCATCCCATCCACGGTGTTGGGAAAATACGATAGGGTATGCCACAAAACACAGATACAGGATGGCATAAATCAGCGATATCCTGTGATGCCGTTAGGGTTAGCACACAGGAAACAGGCACGCCAGCAGGCATGGGACTGCAACTCACCAGATATCCATAAACCACAGAATAGGTTCAGATGCCAACAGAGTAAATGGCCTACTCATGTTGATCTTTATCAGGTGACGGGTGGAAACCCTTTGGTCATACTGACACCAATACCGCGGGTCATCGTTCTCCCTGCGCAATCGTGCCGCCTTTTGTTTCAGGATTGCGGGATGATATGTCTCCTTCACTGTTATCATCATGAGAATTCCAACTCCACCAAGGATCAGAGGAATCCAGTTGTCCCATCGCCATCCCAGATACTGGTACACAAAGCCGCCAATGATTGGGCCAGTAGATGGTCCGTTCAGGGGCGCGATGGACCACATGGACATGGCTGCAGCCAGATAATCTGGATCCGAGATATCGACGATGGTTCCAGGACTGTTTGAGATCATAGCGGCACCAAAGACAGCACTGCAGCTGTGTTAGAACGGCTGTGACGAGGTTGGGAGACACCACTTACCCAAAGAAGCGCACAACAATGATTTCTGTTAATGAAGTAGCCAGAGCACATGGCAAGATCAACAAAGCCCATACAGTCAAGCAGACAATGTACACTTTTTGTCGACCGTACAGCTCACTCAGAGGTGCCACAATCAGACTTCCTGCAGCAAGACCAAGCAAATATGTTGTCAAACCAAGTGTGGTCACAGTCGTTGACGCCCCAAACTCCTCGGCCAGGCCAGACACCGATGCAGTGTAACATGTGCTATACAAGACGACGACCCATGTGGAATACGAGACACAGACGATAATCCATGCGCGATAACCCTTTGACCAGTTTCGGGGATTATCTGGATCACCGTCCTCAAAGAAAACCTCAAAGTCTGGGGGGCGAGAGGCGGCGCTGGTCACACTGGTGCCAGTTCTGGTGTAAGTAATAGGTTCGCGAGCCTCGCGCTCTGCCTCTGTCTCGACATCTGGAGTGAGGGCGTGCTCCAGGGCCTCAAAGACATCAAGGTCGTGGGTGCGGCTGCGGCGTGTTTCAATGGTCCTGATGGGCTCTAGGATTGGCGACGACCCTGTTGAAGAAGCCGAGGTAGACGACTCGGCGCCATTGGCTGGCGATGCCTCCTCGAGGTCTTCTTTCATGACTGTCTATATGCTGCTCCCAAACCCGGTTCTTGTGAGTTGACCCGTCAGATGGAATGCGATGGCGACTTTTATAAGCAACTGTCGTCATGTGCCGCCGACTCAGGTTGGTTGCCCTTGGTTTATATGACAATGCAGTTCACGACACAGAGGGGGCAATAGTGGAATGTCTGAATTTTCAGATCAGAGATAAGGATGAGATAACATTGACGATGACCGGAATACGGCACATAAGGGAATCAGAACTACGAACAGTTACACTACATGGGTAAGTGGTAAATTGCGCCCTAGGCCTAGGTATGTCCTACAACCGATGTGGGTGCCGAAGGAGCTTTCATCAGCAGTTTAGCCTCTTTCAAGTGGAGATCAACAAACTCTTGTCAGCGCCGGGTGGACCTTTTGGTGGGCTTGTTGGATCACATCTGTTAAGGATGCCGTGGGCAGGCCTGCAAACACTTAACTCGCCGCAACGGATCACGGATCGGCCCCGTTCTCGTGGACCCAGCGGAGGAGATAAGCGTCTCAGGTCGGCGGGAAAAGATCTACACGAGTCAACTGACGACCCTGCAAAATCTGAATCTGACTCTCATTATTTCAGCCAGATCAGAATTCGATAGGATATGAATGAAGAACCAGGAGCAAAGCTAGGCAAGAAAAATTGCTCATGCTTGATGTATCATTATAACTAAACAGCAAGCCTTTATTCACTCTTGGCGCTGTTTGCGATATCGACCTCCCCTTAGTCGGTGCCGAAATCGGCGATACTCGGCCGAATGTATACCCTTTTCGGAGCCGCACCGGCCCCACAACGGCCGGATCTGAACCTTAAAAGTGGTAAATGCTTGATTGAGCCTTGATCGTGGGTGAACTTTAAGAATTACATCTGAAGTCTGTCCTGGCCAATTCTAGGGTTAGTACAGCTTTATTACATACTCTACTATGTAAGCCTCCGAACTAACAGAATCTAATTATCAACGCAAGTCACTTGTTCAGCTGGATCTTAACGTTCAAGGCAGCAGCTGTGTGATCTGCTGACTTGCTATTAAGGTTATTGTGTATTTTTCTGGACATAGTGTATGGCACCTTAGGTGTATTGTGGTTATTACTAAAGGAATGCCGTGTTGCTTCATGTGTAGTCACGATATCACTACCCTCTTCACCGACATTACTGCTTGGCCTTAACTACTAATACTTCTTTCAAGACCTGGTCAAGTGCTCTAACCAAGATTTTACTATGTGTTTCATACAAGCCCGCTGAGGCTGACTAGGCTGCAAGGTTAATCTAGTTTTTTTTTACGTAGATTTGTATGTAGTCTATACTACAATCAGGTGTTATTTACATGTCGGAGTGGCGCATAGGATGCAAGTGAGATATAGTGATGTAGGCCATGGACATGACTGGATGGCCCTCAAGATTGACATTTTTGGGTGATGTATGTCATTGACACTGAGTTCTGTATTTATTGTTGATAAGTATTCCTTGGAAACTGTCTTCTAAGCTTCGTTCTAAGTCATGCATTTATCTCATCGATTCACGGGTTTACTTAAGTAAAAGGGGCCATTATTTGGATGAGGGACTGAACACTTGCCCACGAAACATGGTCCAGTTAGTATCAGACTAGGATCAGTTCTTTAGGCGTTGTTTGGCTGGCATAATTCGCTCCATTTAAGGATCATCAACGTGGGGAAACCCTTATAGGCATGGCCTAGATGAGGGTTTCCTAGACGTTCTATCCACGAAACAACGGGGTTCGAGTCTTGGTAGGTTTTTTTATATTGGCGAGTCTGCCCACAGCTTTCTAGTATGACCTTGGCTCCCCTAATCATATAGACTTTGCTCAACTAGATAGCAGGTGTATCCTTACTTATACATGAGACCTTGTCCATTCCCACTGAGACATTCTTTTTTCCTGTTCTTCCACGAGGTATTATACTTGTTATGCTTTCCCTCCGGTACGCCACGCACCCAATGAGGTCTCAAAAAAAAGACCAGTATCAGGAACTATACACATATGTACAATGGTTATCTTCACCCAATTTTGGGTCTGGTGTAACGTAACCAGGGTAAGTGTATGCCTTCCAACGTTGAGATAAAATGATGGCCGCCGTGTTGCGCGGTTATAGACTATTTCTAATAGTAATGCTGAAGATCCGAGTTGTTAGTGGCTGCTTGGGCGCCCATAGGTCGTCCTTGTGATGGTGCTGGACCTCGAGGCGGTTGCCGGCCTTGACTGGGACCGCTGGGCGCTGATACGGGAGGGTTATTGGATTTGCTGAGTGGCGGGTAGGCGTCATCATAATCCATCTGTGGCCCGTAGCCGCCCTGCTGGTTCTTTGGCTCAACATCGTCGAGAGACCTATAGTTGTAGCCTCCTCCTCTACCACGACCGCCACGGCCGCCTCTGGCATTACCACGACCGCCACGGTTACCCCGACCTCGACCCGCTCGGCCACCTGAATGATAGCCTCGGGACTCGTTGCGTCCGCTGTAGTGGCCATGTGGGTTTCTCTGGTTCCAGCCCTCATCGCCGTTATGCTTCCGTTTAGATGTTTTGTTGGCAAACAAACTCTCGTACTCGTCTTCTCTTGGATCCTCTGGCTCGATGCGTAGAATGACCTTCTCACCAACCACAGTTTCGAAAACAAAAGACCTTTCCGGCGGCAGGGGTTGCCAGTTCTGAATCTTCCCTGCGTCCATGGGTTTGATGCCTTTCCTCAATGCTAGCACGACGAGCGGACTGGGGTTGTCGGTATGGAACTTGGCGTGTTGGGGGGTAGGTCGAAGCTGTGCCGCCCAAATATTATTCTCAAAACAAGCTGTGCCCACTACCTCCCACTCCATCTTACTGCCCATGCCGCCGACCTTTTCCAGGATACTAGCTGGACACGGCCGGGGGCAGATGAGAATGTTGTTGCCGTGGTACTTCAGCTCATGCTGGGGCATGTTTGGTGGTATATGTGCGAGCTTGATGAGCTTCTTGGTGTCCTCGGGTCCAATCATGTAACCAGTGAAGTACACAGTCTTCTTAATCCTGAGTCGGTTCTGGCGTCCTCGCGGGGATTGCTTCGAGACCATCTCGTTGTGGATATTTATCATGTGCTGAATCTCGGCGACCTCGATCACGGGATCTAGAGTCGTCGCGCAATCTGCCACCTGGATCACTTCAGCTGTAAGAGGGCCGCGTGTTGGGGTTATATTTTGTTGGCGGTTGAACTCGGCGAAGAAGTCGCGGAAGCCTTTGGTGTGTTTTGGTCGATCCTCATATACGCGGATCTCTTCTGCTTGCTTGTATGTCTCCATCAGGGCCCCGAGAAAGAGTTGCTTGAAGTGCATCGTACTTTGAAACTTCTGGTTCGAGGGGCTCACGGCGGGTTTGAGACCAATCATATCGAACTCGAGTCCTTTGGCCGTCACCATCTTCTTTATCAAATCGGCGAACCCGCGTTCCGAACGACCCGTTAGTAGAACGCAGAGGGCATCCTTCTGCTTCATACTCAGCTTGACAAGATCCACGATTTTGTCGTTCCACCAGCCATCCCAGGCACGCTTTTCCTCGATGTCGATGCCTTCCCCTGTCGCCGCGAGGATGCGACTGTCATGCCACCAGCCGCCATTGACAAACGTTTCCTGATTCGATAGTGTCCCAATCGTGGGCCCGTTCCAGAGTTGGGGATTCGGTAGAGGGGTCTTGAATACTGCTTGGTGTTAGATGCATGCATGTTTCCATTGAACGAAGCGGGAACTCACGAGTATTGTCAAAATCGTAGACGTGCAAGGATTTGATCTTGTCGACGGCTGTAGAGGGTGAATTAGCGTTATGCATGAGAAGCAGATGGGACGAGAGAATGGACATGATGCAACACGAACCTGGTAATGAGTTGTTCAGAACGGACCATCGCCCCAGAGCTGTGATGGTGTGTTGCGACGCGGTGGCTGCAGGCCCATGATATGCGCTGAAGGCCGAAGCCATGGCGCCTGAGATGCTGAGTCTGCGAAGGCGAGAAGATGCTGTTGTCGTTGCTATCGACGGAGATGTAGCGAGCATACAGCTGGTCGTAGAGTATCGCGGTAAATTAGGATGGAGGAAAAGCGAGGCTAGAGTTGAAATGGCGTTGTTCGATGATGTAGTTGAGGTCCAAATTTGTCGACCCTTGAGAATAAAGTGACGGTGGGGCCTGGGAGTTATACCTGCGACGCTACTGGCCCGAGGTGGCTCCAGGGCCTGTACAGGCGATAGGCGCCGCATTTCAGGTGCCTATTAACTGTGGAAAGAAAATCACAGGCGGGAGCTAGGTGTTCAGTCAAGATGGAACAATCAAATAAAGTAAATTCAAAAGGTGCCCGTGAATCATATTTTGTGGGCGCATCAGCGCAAGCTCAACAAAGACAACCTTTCACCCGAACTCCATCCATTACATACTTTACCTTATTACCCCTCATTGAACTGAAGTGAACTGAACTCAGCTGGACTCAGCTGGACTGCCCGGGCTGGACTCGGCTGGGCTGGGCTGAGCTGAGCTGAGCTGCATTTACTTGCATTTCACCTGACACTCTCTTCTCCTCTGTTTTTGATAATGGCGTCGCCTAGTGCTATTCGCTTCGTCACTGGCACCAAAAAGTCTCCTCTGGGCTCTCTGCATCTTCAGCTTCGCGTGAAACCGGGGGCTAGCAAGAACCGCGAGGGCGTCATAGCCGTCACCGACGATGCAGTCGAGCTGTGCGTTTCTGCTCAGGCGAGAGAAGGCGAGGCCAACAAGGCTGTAGTTCAGGTCCTCAGTGGTATATTGGGCGTGCCAAAGTCTAGTCTTCAGCTGACACACGGCATCAAGTCACGCGACAAGACGATTGTGCTGGGTGGGATCAAAGGAGATGGAGAGGATTATGCAAGGAGTATACGGGAGATACTTGACAAGGCAGCAGAGGAATAATCAAACACGAGCGATATGATCGGATGTGTATGTACCTATCTACCTATCTGCCTATCTACCTCAGTAGGTACTAAGGTATACACTATTGGTTGGTTTGTTTCTCTTGAGATATGAGCTTCTCATTGGTTGGTGCGGTTCTCTTCGAGATACAGACTATATCACTGGGTTGTTATTGTCCAGAAACGTTTGGGACTGGCTGAACATGTCCGTCCACTGGTTTCCTCTCGTCCTATCGGTTGTGTATGGGATGAGGGTGGCTGACGTTAGAGTATAGCTATATTCTATCTTACCTACACTTCCTTCATGCTCACGAAGAAAACCCTAGGTTTCACTCTGGTTTGGGGAAAGAGTCTTCGAGTTATCCGCGTTGATAGTAAAACACCACGTCCCCTCCCCGGAGGACTTGTAGATTACATCTGGTGGACCATCAAAGCATAACAGCAGATGATCAAGTGACTATCAAGACTCTTCATAGCTCCTCTTCATATCAAGTATTGACGTGGCAACGGATAAATACACTAGCTTCGCCAGCCAATTCTTCCCTTCAGAATCCACAGTTGGGAGCATCTCGATGATATCGCATGAGGGGGTGTGGTGTGGGTAAATACGTGTATGTATGTACTGCATCGCTATAGCTGTCTGAACCCTAAACGCATGAATGCTCGGCAGTGGTATTTGAGCATTTACCGTCTTTTTCCTATCCACAATAATGTTTCATAGAGAGAATGCAGGGCTGCATATCAAACCACGGGACTGAGAAGGAATAGGGCCCACGGACTACTGAACGCGTATGCGTCTTTTTTTTTAAATAAAATTTTTTAGATTACCATGCGCTGCGCATCGGCTTTTCTCATCATCATCGGCATGTTCAGCTTCGATCGATCGAGGGGAAGGGATTGTCACCCTGTCGTTCTGGCCGTGGGTAAAAGTGAGCCCAACTAGAGACAGAAAAAGAGCGATGCCCGATGTTTGACAGTCCCTTTGATTTGGCCCAAGCGGCTAGGGCGCAAGCGTCCGTTATGTCGGGAGGATTGACAATGTGCTGATCAAGTTGAGGTTGAACAGAGACAGTAGGTATAACCAACGTCCCAACAAGAGATGGGACGAAGAGTTCTGAGTATATGGGAGGCCTCTGGCACTTACATTAGGTATTGCAACGCAATAGCACCAAGTTGTCCATGTACTTGGTGTTCAATCGCTTATCGGAGTCTCCAAATAGATTATCAGAGCATGCAACTTGAGGCCCAAAGGATCGGCAATCCCTCACTCACTCAGGTCTAGTTTGTAGATCGATACTTCTCGACCCCTTTGACCAATTTAGACACCCAATATTCACACACCGGCTGACGGGTGACACACAAGATCACACACCCCATCCCGCAGAAAGCTACAGCACAGAGTGACCGACACTTGTTGCCCAGCCCTTGGGATACAGCCCATTGCTTCACAGTGCTCAGCGTCAAATCGGTCGCTAGAACAGAGGAGCCACAGTAGCGAGGGGTTCTCCTCTCTAGCCTCAGCGAAGTCGCACTCCCTCTCTTGGTGCTGAGAGTGACTCTGCTGTGGCTGAATGCCCTCAGCTTGCCATAACAGGAAGCATGTCTGGCTGATTGACAGATGTCATTGGACGCTTGTTGCACAACCCACGGGCGGGATCTTCTCAGTCCCTGCGATGTATGTCGCAACCCCTGGTCTCTCTTTCTGCCCTCTGAATAGGCAGGTTCCAGGGAATGTATCGACACTTGTCGAGTGAAATGTCTCCAGATACCATTCCTCTTTCTCACCGACCTTTTATCACACTCCTCGCAAAAGAACCGCCCCTCAAGTGTCGCCCACAGTTGTAGTCTTTCTTGGCCGCTAGAGTCACTTAGCATTGCACCACGGGATCCCTTCAGGCCCAGGGTTGTCGTGAGTTTGTTAGCCACAAGTCCGGCGTTTTGATCGACGGCATCCAATGATGGCTCATGTTGAAGAGTGACTTGTGGCTCATGGCTCATCGATCCCCTCATGACAGCGCACGCCCCCTCGAAGACTAGACTAGGTAGGTAGGCAAGTCCTCAGACTCCAACCCTATCAAATGGATGCCGAACCAGTCAGCGTTGTAAAATATCATGTGAGGTTTCACTGATGTCGAAACCCATGTACAGTATCGCCACCTATGAGGGGAATATGATGTGAACTGTGGCTTACGTTGCTCCCCTGGTGTGGCGAGTAGAGTGATCAGTATGTCCCCACGGAGTAGGCCTAGGTCCCATTGAAGCACACCACAATTGTCGGGGCCTAATGATTATGTCTCATCCGGGCCGTTGAGTGACCCTTGCTCAGCTCAGTGAGCCAGCCGAGTTGAGGGGGAGGTGGCTTGGGAGAGCAGGTGAAAGGTGTTTGAGTGTGTTGCGTACCCGCCCATCACTTTCAATCGACAATGGCGATCCAATTCCCCTGAGGCGCGAGCTTAACCTCGATTGTGGCTAGTAATGACCAGTTGTACGATCATGACATGGGATGGGATTGGGTCCCAATGTCCGGGTACCGCCAGGCGCCGGATCCAATGTTTGCATGATAACACAATTTCCCATGTCAACGAACGGGCACCGGGAGTATGTTGCCGACCGAGATGCTCTACTTGTCTGCACTTCAACTGGAGACACCGTGCACATAGCTGGGTCATGCCGTGCCATGCCATGCCATGCCATCGCCGATGAATCGAGACTCATCCGCCAAGCCAACAGCCAACATAGGCGACGCAGCAAAGGACCAAAAGACAGTTCTGAGCCAAAAGGGTTTGTCCCGATGTGGAAGATTTACTCCATGGGTGTCTGGATCTTGCGCGCGTCCTTTGCTCGGTGAGTTACTCTATCATTCTCACGAAGTGAGCTGAGTGGGATATTTCACTGCAACCGCCTCCAGTTCCCCTCGAACTAGACAGCGCATCGCAGATTAGAACAAATAGGTGCGACAAATCATATTCCAAGACGCGCCAGGCACCTTAGGCCCATGAAACATCGCTAACACGTCAATGTCCAAGGCCATCCATCATTCCTAATCAAGTTGAGCAGAAGCTTGAGTCACTTACAAGCCACAACGTTAAATTGATCCTAGACTGTGAAGCTCGACGTATGTAACCCCAGAGAGGAGACACATGATGATTAGGTTTGTATAGTCTGGGGGAACACGCAAACCCCCTCGCCACAGGTGGCTAAGCTCGGCACTTTGTTCCTTTGGACTCCATCTTGGCAAGGTACTCGGTCGACCAATTGCTGTCAACGGAAATAGTAATCTGCTCGGAAGACGGCTCGAGGTCCCCTTGGCGAACTTGGTGTCCCTGTGGCAGTGTGGCTCATGTCGGTGTAACCCAATTGCGTTGCTATTTCCGAAATCTGGGCTTCGCTTTCTCATAGACCATCTCTTTGAGTTTGTTGACCTATCCTTTCTAATTATTCATGCCGCTTGGCGCTTGTGGTCACCGGGCAGAAAGTCCGGCTTGGCCAGGATATGGCTGTTTGGCTCTTGAATTCCTTACCCTTGTCGCTCATTCGAAACGCATTATCAATGTGCTAGCCACGAAGCGGTAGCCTGGGATCGAGTCGCTATGATTTGTCCACAACACGCATGTAAACAATGCTTCGAATAGCGTAAGCCATTGTACTATCGGTCCTGGACTCCATGGGTAAGATGGCACCATACTGACCCTCGGCGACACTAACACAGGCCTGGTGGTAACGAATAGCGGCCGTTGAGTGTCAAAATTGGTCCGCCACCAGTATTTGGCCTAAAGGACTCCACAAACGGTTGAAACTGAGGCCCGAGCAAACCGACATGCTATACCACATACCTCAATGCCTCTGGACCTCGCTTTATGATAAGGACTGCTGCTGTTAGATGAACCATGAATATCTTGAACAAGTGTGGGTATTTTATATAGAATTATATGTACGTCGTGTTCCCCAAGAACAAGATAAGTATCCCATCTTACTCGCTCGCCCCGCCTCTTGCTTGCATTACTTCGTAAGTCCTATTTTCGTGTACGCCGGACTCATCCGCCCATTGTATAAGAATGTGATGCATATACGCTTCTGTGTTTTGCTCGAATGTATTCAAGAAAAGAGGTAATATCGCAGTAGAAATATGATGATGTCGCCTCCATGCCGGAGGTTGGACAGACTGACGAGGCCGTCCGTATAACGTGTTGCACGAACGAATATGTGTTGCTTGGCAGGATGTGGATTTATGTAGTGGAGATCCACACGCTTATATGGTTTTCGAATAATGCGGTAACCGGCGCCAAGAGTGTGCGCTCATCTTCGTATCGGACAATCCGGCCATTCCACATGACTGCATCTCAGCTGGCCAGGGTACTGTCTGTCGATGAGAGAATTAAGACCGGTCCAAAATTCTCACTAGTACTTCTGCTCGGCGCGAGAATAGCCGCCCATCCCATCCATCGTCTGCCAAATCCTTATGGCATATGTCAAACAAAAGGGGCACTGAAATAGTTGCCACTGCTGTCACAAGTGTGGCAGCAAAGAATGAACAAGAAAGATGAAAATAGAATAGTAAGAATAAAAAGAAAAACCGGTGGTATCATTTTTCAACAAGAGTAACAATCGTCAACGCCCCGGAGCCAACAATCCCAATCCGTATATGTATGTGATCGTGTGTCCAACCTGGCGACAGGCCGAGAGACCCCAGCAAAACAGTACAAACCCAAGTCTAGACCCATATGTTGCTTATCGCCGTAAACTCATCGCTGTACGTACCCAAGGTAGCATGGCGGGAGTTGAAAAAAAAGACACAAAGGAAAAGGGAGGAATAGTGCGATCAGAAACTAAGACGGAGAACGAAACCACTTGTTGCTTTGTCGTTAGATTCTGCGATATCTTCGGTGGCATCGACAGCCATTTCCCATTCCCGCTTGACTGCTGGTCCAGTAACTTCTTGTACCTCAAGCGTCATGTCTTGACCTTCCTTGAGCTCTTGTACCACATCGTCGTCCATCTCCACCTCGAGGCCGTTCTGGATGGAATGGATTGTGCGGAGGATTCGGGCAGGATCGATGCCCCACTTGGCCGCGATTCGGTTGTTAAGTTCCTGAAGACTACGTTGCATCAGGTAGATAGCGCGGTGGTAGTCCGAGCTTCCGGGCTCGTTTGGATTCCTTCGTTGAATGTAGAAGCATGCCACAGGCTTTGGATTTCGCTCCTGAGGTGGGCGGTAGGAGGAGTCAACACCTAGAGCCTCGATCCATCCACTAAGACTACCATCATCGTCACCCTTGGCGATTCTTGTGGGTTGTTCAGACCCTTTCCGCGATATGTCACCTCCCGCTACTGAGTCGAAGTTCTTCCATTGACCACCAGCGCCAATACCAGATGCCTGTGATGCCAGGGATAGAGAACTGGGCGAGGGAGAAATCATAGAGCCCGCGACAGAGCTTCGTCCGCTCCTGGCCTGCCAGTTGGGACCTTCGCCAGGCTTGGTCAGAGGCGATATATCCCCTGGAAGAGAAACAGGATGCAGGTCTGGGTCATCGGGCTCTTCGCCCCGAAGGAATAATACACTGACGGGCCGTGTACTGGTGAACATGTCCTGCAGCGTTTGGAGCTTGAAATGTAAGTCTTCTTCCATGGTAGCTCTTCCACCACCGCCTGCAGAACTGGCTGAGGACATAGACCATGTTCGCTTATGCTTCTGAACTTTGCCGGGTCTTTGCGGCTCTCCGATCTTTGCAGCTCCACTGGAACGTTTGCGCTTGCCAAAATCCTTGAGACCACTCTCCGCTTGTGCGATTTGCTGCTTAAGCTTGTCGATAGACTTTTTCACATGTGCCACGTCGTTAGACAACTTCCTCTCTGCTCCATGATCACGGAAGAGCTTGACCTTGCAGTAACAAATCTCAGGGTTGGCGTCGGCCGCTGGTTGTGAAGGATCGCACGGCACAGGGTGAGTCTTTGCGCAGAGTCTTACAGGAATACCCTTGACGCCTTTCGAGTGGCTGAAATCGGTAGAGAGGAAGTTGAAGCGAACTGCGATGTTAACCTCGGGAGGGCCATTGATTCCTGGTGTCCAAGTGACACAGAAGCCATCAAAGGAAGACGATTCAAGCTCCACACGGGTTCGCTTATCGTCACCTTCAGCTGGCTGGCCTGCCTCTACGTATTCAACTGCTTGAAGCTTTCCGCCCCTCTGGTGTGCCTCATTAGTGCCTCTGCCTTCTTTCCAGAGACCCCAGCATACACCTGGCCGTTGTCGTTGCTGCTCATCCTCAAATGACACCCGCACGAAGGTGCGATATTTGGTTCCAGGGGCAACGGGCATGGTAGCGTTTGTATCAGCGACAGAAAGTGAGTAAGCCTGTCCCTTATTAAGATAAGTGACGGGGATTTCGTCCGCATGCTTGATCATGGCAGTAGGAGCGTTGAGGGTTGAGTGAAATCGAAATTTTTCTGCTGAGGCCGGAAGGGGATGGGATATAGGACCACTTGAAAACTGTCTTGTTGGCATGTTCATCATGGGTGTAGTCTTATGAAGAGCGGCACCAATAGATGACATGCGCTCTTCAGAAGGATCCGAGTCCATGGGTGATCCATCTTGATCCATGGTCTCATATCCTGTGTCTTGGTGAACGAATGTAGAGGGCGCAAAGGTTGGCTGGGGTGGTGGCGCTTGAATGAACGGGTTAAAATGGTGAAATTGGTGTGGTTGCAGTGTCTGAAACCCCGACATATCCATCACTGGTTGAGCTGGGCCAGGATGCAGCGAGTCTCCCGATGTTGGCATAGACAGCGGTGTGTTAAGTCCCATTCCCAACCCGAGAGTCGGAGTATGCAGGTCGCCGGCCTGCGGGTGAAATAGTGTATTAGTGCCTCCAGGTGTAGGTGTGTAGTAGCCAGGTGGTGCATTAGCAAAGTTGGCGAATGACATGGAATTCGGATCTAAGAGAGAAGGAGTAAATCTCCAAGGGTCGTTAGTCGCCCTAGGGGTTGGATCTTGATCACGGAATGCATCTTGAGTGAGGTTCTGGTTCCTATGAAGAATATTAGTAACTGCGCGCGTAAGCCAGGTGCAAGCACCATGGTACATAGTCGCAATAGCACATACCGATCAGGTAGAGGCACAGCAGGCACGTTTTCGGCACCAGTAGTTTGTGACAGGCCTGGAGCAGTAGCAGAAGTACTGGCAGCAGCAAGGTCAGGGAACTGCTGTCGGAAATTGGCCAGCAGTTCATCGCCCGGCTTCTGTGAGCTCGTCCTAGGAAAGTATTGTGTTAGTAAGGAGAAAGATCAAGGTCTGCAGCCTATATCATGAGGCCATAATAGCGCAGATGTCCAGACTAATCATATAGTGCGTACCTTTGTCGAAACATGTCGAGACGAGCGTGCTAGGCCGTCTCAAGACAGCAACAATGTCGTCGAATGGTTGTCAGCGCACCGCGGAAGAACAAAGTCTTGGAGTTTAGACGATCGGCAATGTTGCTGGTTTGCGAATAGAATATGTAGGCGCAAGTTTCGAAAATAAGTTGTTGGGTAAGTCAGTTGCTGCCGCTATTCATTGATTTTGTGGTGCAGCTTTCAATGTATTGTTGCGACAACGGGTTGTGGTGTGGGATGGTATGGTGGTGCTGGTGCTGGCTGAAGCGAAGCGAAGAGGAAAGCGTTAATCGCGGTAGGCCGTTAGACGCGTTATAACGGCGAGGCAGGGTAAAGCGACGAGCCAGCTGTACTGAGCGAGTGTTGACAGAGGTCGACAGTTTTCTCGCGAGGGTGGAGGATAAAGTAGAAATAGAACAGAGGTGCGTGAAGCCCGTGGGATATTGTAGCAGGTGGTGTAAATAGTAATTAAGAAGGGTCAGGTAAGGTAAGCTAAGGTAGAGAAGGTAAGGGTATATTGGAGGAGTGGTGGGGACCTGTCGTCAGTCCCGCCAGGCCAGAGTACAGTGGAGGGTGAGGGTGAAAACCAAAAAGACTCGATGGACGGAGAACGAGAATCTGACTTCGAAGTTCCTAAGTACCTCGTACCCACGTCCCAAGCTCTGGGCTGGGGCGCCGAGGCGGTGTCGTGGATCGAGTGGATGAGGTGAATGTGGATATGGATCGGGAGGAGGCGTGTCTATAGTAGGCGGAGGGTACTTGTGCCACACGGTTTTGTGCCTGTGCCAGACGCCAGGGAGTGGTGCGATGTTGGAGTCAGGATGCGACGTAACGCGGTGATCTCAAGTGATGCCGAGATGTTATGTATGTATGTATGTAGGTATGTATTGTATTTTGTTTTGTTTTGTTCAGAGCTGAACCCGCGAAGCCTATTTCGACTGTCGCAACACTGCGGCGTCAACGTCTGTCGTCAGAATGCGACTGCACTGTAGATCGGGGCATTAGCTTTCCAAGTGAGACTTGAGAGAGGAAAACACCTTTGCCGATGGAGACTGGACGTTCGACTGTCGGGTTCTAGCGAGCGGTTATGTGTTTTGCAGGTGTCGACGCAAGTGTCCTTCTTTCACGCCGACCCAAGCAGTTGTACATACATACAATAGAGTGGATGTGATTTTGGGGGGCGACAATAGCTTGTCCGCAGTGCCGGGATGCCGTCAAACAAAGATAGGTACGGAGTAGTAAATCATTAATTAATTGCGATACTGTCAGTGTTTGCTGGCTAAGATGTCTCTCTTGTGCCCCTGTCTTGTACATACATGCTGCTGTTCATGTGTGGCTGGAGCTTGCGATACCTTACATTAAAAATGTGCGCTTTGCTGTATACAGTAGCCAGCCTACCAGCGTCGATATTTGTGAATCTGGGAGGCCTGACCAGAGGGCGTCATTTTGACCAAGAGATGTCGCTACCGTTCTAGATGAGCCTATCTCTCTGTGTCCAGCATAACTGTCTGTACTGTGGTGGTCGACTCAGGAAGATGCACTGTTGTGTCGCTCACCTACCTAAGTATGTATGTATGCAGGCAGAGTCAGAAGGACATGCATCCATACCAACATATCCACCCGTCGATTTTCGGGAGCCTGTGGGGTCAAAGCCATGGGGGCAAACCAGCGACCAGCAAGGGGGACCCTGATCCCAGGAATCTTCTCATCCGCTAGGGTCAAGGGTCGGCGGGCAGCCAGAGACTAGCAACTAAAAACCCTTGTACTGCAGAGACCATGGGCATGGGTGGAGAAGAGAAGAGTTAGAGGGGAGGCAGAAGGAGGAGGAAGAGGCTCGTCTCGTCCTTCGTTCGCTGTCTGGTATTATCGGCCGTGTTGTTTGAAAATTGTTAGTGAGGGACAAGTACTTTCTCCTTCGGTCGGTTATGACAACAGCCCATCCATGCATGTCCTTTATTTCTCTATTTCTCTCCCATCCTTTCTCCCTGTGATTGATCGGAAGAGAGCATGTGGCTTGTGAGGCTTGTGACAGGACAGAAAGCCCGAGTAGGGTAAGGGCATCATAATCAACAGTAAGGTAGTGTTAACAGCAAGGGAGGCTTCGGGCAGTGACGCCATTGCAGCGTTGTGGACATTTAGCTTCCGCACCCTTCTACTGGATGGAACAGATGAGACTTGCGTTAGGTTTTCTCTAGACTGTAGATTGAGTTAACAGAAGTGCACGTACGTCTACCTGTGAATGAATGCATCTGCATCTAATTATTACTACAGCGTACGTGCCGGCGAGAGTGGCTTTATCAGAGGTTAGATGAAGAGGGGTGAGGCTTGACAACTGGGCCCCCAGAATTATCCCATTTCCATCCCGTTATTTTCCCCCGGTGGTTAGGCTAGGTCGAGTTCTGATGTTGGATGTGTTGCTGCGCTGTAATGCACTGTAGCAGTTAGTTATTTCCCATTCGAAGCTGTAGGCGGCCAGCGGGGACCCGGTCTCCCACTGTCGGGTCTGTTTCTAAAAGGCAGTGGTCCTGGCGCCTCGGATACAACAGCGGTAACCCTTACGCAGGAACGCCAGAGCCGTGGGATGTGGAGGTTCCAAACCCACACTCGAACACTAGTTGGATCGGATCTTTACTCTGTCATCGGTTTGTATCTAAGAGAACCTCGTCTGCCATCGGCTGCCCACGCCAAAATCACCCCTCATCGAGAGTTCTAATTATCGCGAGGTGCTTGCTCTTTTATCGGAGACCGGGGCTTTGGGGTTAAACCATTGTTTGAGACTTTTTTCTTCCCCCTTCTGCCTTCGCATTCTCCTCTTCAAGCGCCATCGTCGACTAATACTTGAGCTTGGGGTTATTCGAGTCGGTAAATTAAAGTCATGGAGCCAATGACATCTGATGGAACCAAAAACTCTACCTCTGTTCTATATGGACGCATACCGAACGCTAGTCATCCACATGTGTACTTTGGATGGGGAAAATCAAAACAACGTGACTGAAATGTATGTTTTCCCTACCTGTCTACCTTACCTACTAACCTGAGGATGGAGTCTGCCCATGCCATGCCTCATCTCCCGTTTCCCGCCGCAATGTATACGCGCTGTGCTCCCTTGTACCCCCTGTTGCGCATATCCATCATATGAGTCCTATTGGCCGGAGGATGGCTCATTTGGAAAGTCCTGCAACCGCATCCGTACAATGTGTGTGAAGACTACCTACATGTAGGGCAGGGCCTGGTTGTTTCTTCCAATACTGTCCCCGGTCTGGCGGCATGACGGATGGGTTCCCATCCGTTCCTTTTCTCATCTGCATCACTCACTCCACGGCCCGAAATGACCTCTGCCTCTAGGCCTTCCCCTTTGAGGTCCTACCACCACCTGACCACGTCTGTCATGCATCAGAGCAACCCATGGTCAACCAGTGGTGAGATGTTGTGCTGTAGTTTTCGATGTGAAAAAGACCACAGCAGCACCCAGATAATTTCTGTCATTTCCAGAGCGTCTATCAATATGATAGCTCCAAAACTAGAAGGGACCTGCTCTGTTCTTCCCGTGTGGCTGTGCTGAACCCTTCTGATTATCAATATTCATCCTGGTCTTGGTACTACCTTACCTATGGTTCATCTCTTGTCCAGGCGCGCTTGTGTGCATCTAGCAGAGGTTCCGGAGTAGTCCCTAGATCATTTAATTGGTCTTAGCGACGCCGAGGGTTTAGAGCTTATCCATCCTCTGAAGAAAGTCACCTAGTCGTCACAATCGAACCATTGCCCTCATACCGCTTGTCCTGATCCAGCTTGGTGCAGACGTTGGGAATGCCATTTGCAAAAGCCATGCGCTGCAATTGTAGCGGCCGCCGAAGTCCCTCCCTAGTCTAAGTCTTTGGTGGCCGTTACCGTTCTTTCGATTAAAGATCTTCACCACTCACTCCAGATTGAGAATAGACACGTGGGTGATTTGCATGTGTGTTCTTCGGGTCTAGGTTCTGTTGGGTCCCCGCACGTCCAATCCGTCTTTTGGGTTTGACGGCAGACAGCTTCACAGCCACAGTTGGAGGCGATACCATGACGACGCCACAGGGCTCGATCCCCAATCCTCGGCATATTATTGCCCAATTGCATGTTCTGGGCCGATTCCATCTGTGCCGATCAATATTTGACTGCCTTATCTTGTTGATCACTGCCTGAGATTTCAGCTGCTCAGGCATGGGCGTGACTGGCAGGTGTGGCTCTGAGAGTTGTTGTGGCGTAATGAACGTGGCTTGACGCGTGGTTATCGCCCCCCCCTTCATATGTACCTTCCTCCCCCAGTGGAGAGTTTATTAATGAATAAGAAAACTATTTTCTTTGGATCGCCGACTTTTTATCATGGCATCTCGGCACTTTAACTTGTAGACCTTTTTCATGGCGTTTGTGTGGAAGGTGGTGGCCAAACTTTTTGGTTTGCTTGAGAATTGATGACAGGGACAGTGCCCTAACCGTCACTGACCTGAATGTCTCTTATGGTGTTGTCGACAGTGCGTATCATCTCAGAGGAGAGGCTTCATTTCGTGCAACTCTTGAGTTTGAGAAGTTGCAGCCCTGTAATGGATCGAGAGGTAATATCAGGCGCCCTCAAAGTTTCTTACTATAACGTTGATAAGAAACTGGTATAAAATGACGTGCCCATTCCTTGGAGAGCATAAGATTTCTTGGTATATTTTCCAATATTGTCCGAACTCTAAGCGAAACAGATCAAGCAAACATATTTATCCTTTCAACCAGCACAGACAGAACCTGGCTTTAGCAGTAGGTATTATCTTCTGGTATAGGAAAAGTCTCACGGCAACTGACCTCGTTCCCAGTAGCGGGCTATCCTCTTCTCTTAACGCCAGAGATGAGGTTACTATATGGTGTCTATGGGCTTCTGTCTGTCGCGCATGCGGCTGATGTAAGAATTCATTTTATTCACCATAGAGAGACAAATGCATCTTCTCTTATTGCATATAGCACTAGTGGGGACTTGATCACAAGGATCTGTGGGACAACGATTAAAGCTAAAGAATCCGTCGACTTCTCCAACATTAACGAAAATGGTGTTGGGAATTTCACAGTTGGTAGTACCAGCTTCTTTGTTCACTCCGATCCCAAGTATTCTGGAGGCCCTTCATGTTCTACAGATTTCGATCATGCCTACACTGCCATACAGTGCTCAGGTGTAAAATGGGATCTTGAGGGGGTTGTTAAACAGGATCCGAAGTCCTGTTTCTTTGGAAATCTCGCGGGAGGGGGCTTTGAAGAGTGCCAAACTGACACCCGGTACCACAAGTTGCATCGCCGTTGCGGCGAACGGAAACCAAGGCTTGACGGCGACGGTCGGTATCATCCTTTCGAGTAAACTACCTAGGCTCGACCTTGCTAATATACACTTCAAGGATGGCCCCACCAGAGATACTACTATCAACAGCTTTCAGTAAGTCTTTTACTCCCCTCTGTACCCTACAGGTTCTTTTACATCTTTATATTGCTACTAAATATCTGTAGGAAGTTGGACATTGTAGCGAAACCCAGGGCTGCTCTGTTACTTCATCCAACACGGAGGGTATCACCAAGGCTTGGAGTGCGACTGTCAGCCCCCCGGTTTGGATCTCGGGAGGCTACTCTGTAACAAAGTCCTGGGGCACTGGGGCTGCATATGGCTGCAATGGCGGCGCGGGAGACCAAGTCTGTGTCTGGTACAGGGTTGCGCACACTGCCTGTAAGTCACAGCCTTATCTAAATGGCATTGATAGAGTGGTTAAGAAACGATACAGATACAGTTCGGGAGCCCAGGGGACTTAGCGAGAAGGATATGCATGGGCCACAAATTGTTATCGCCTCCCCAAACAAGAACAATGAAGGCGGGGGCTTTCAGTGTGCGACTGGAAAGAATTGCGTGCATAAGGGCGCCATGTATTGGGACTGCCATGGGAAAAGGTCTAAGAAGTTTACCCACTGTGGACCTCCAGAGCAACCAGAGTTGGACCCCAAGAACAACTTCATAAGACCCTATGCGAAAGAGAAGACGAAGACCACGAAGGTAGAGAAGTAGGCGTATGATGGATTGGGGATTATTTCATGATAAATGAGCAAGAATCATGGGGGCACATACGGATAAGAACTATACGGAATCCTGCAACTGGCTCCGACATGCATGGCTGGAACAAATACTATGTTCTAGCAAGATCAGGCTCCTTGTTCCCCTAGGCTACTATACTACACGTCCTGCCACAATAAGTTGCCTGGTATAGCTATTGCCGTTTAATCTATAAGTATTAATCTCATATATTTGTTTCGTGGCCATACCTTGTCTTGCTTGTCCCGGGGTGCATAACTAGCTGGCAAATTCTAGCTTACACGCACCAACCGTTCGAACAGCTGACCCTTGGCAGGCATAGGTAGGCAAGCGATCTTGGAGGACCACGATATCCCAAGACCGAACTCCTACCTGGCTATGGCTTATGCCACTATCAAAATGCCGGTTTCTTCTATGTTGCCAAGCATAAATAACATCCAATGGCTATATATTCGATCTATTTGACAAGCTGTGGTCGGTTTAAACTTGAAGTAAGTACCTAGGTACGGAGTGTCCAAGCTTCTAACTCTTTGTTTTCTAACGCTTCCGAAACAGTCTCTCCTCAAATCTTTCTACGAAATACCCAGTACCTTCAGCAGAGTCAAGCTGGTGGTCCAGTCAATTGGATAAATAGGTAGTAAAGCATATGACTATAGCTCTCCCTTTGGTTCTGCTTGTTTGGAGCTCCCTTATTCCAGGTTGAGAGCGTTTGATCTGGTCTCATTGAAATTATGTCTAGCGTTCATTAATAAACGCCGTTGGTGCTTTACCTTTACCAGGGTTACCCTGTCAAGTCCCATCTGGTGCCATCTCGGAACACATCCTAATCCCAGTCAAGTCCATCCAACAATTGCATGTTCCAACTTGGGTGTGCAGCCAAAGATGCAGCACCATGCCACTACTGGGCTTGAGAACGGAAATATGGCATCGAGCCAGCTTTGCATCCAACTCCCCAGTCTATGCTTTTTACAGTCATTAATGACAACGGTGCAGCCCTTCATCTGGGCTTAATCTCGGCAAATTGTTTATGGGTAACGTCCGGCAAGATCTTGCCCGGATCACAACGTTCACTAGCAGAATCGAAGGATATGGTATCGGGCGTACATACTTGTTGGTTACGTCAATGTAATCGCCAAAGGACAATCTCTCTGCTCTATGTCCTCGCCGTTTACATTCCAAATTTTGGGCGATACCGTCAAGATATCCAATATGATATATCAAGTCGTTAGGGCTTCTACAATCTTCTCAGTCCGAATCGACTGGAGATTGACGCTCCTTCTAGCCCTGACCAGGCCATCGTTGCCCTGTGGCCATGAACGTGTGGCTGGTAGCTAGGTCGTAACGGACAGCTACCATGCGGCAGGTATCTATCTTGGTGTGAACACCACACAATTTTCGGGCGAGTTGCGTACCCCATGTATCGTTTCCTTCCCCTCACACCCTTTCTCACAGATCAATCTCTTCTGGGGTTGTTGATTGACGAACAATCTCTTCAAATTCCAGGTTCGACCACCTTTCGAGGATAGTGTACTCTATTGTTTGTCATGGCTTACAATGCCTTTTCGTGCTCGGCTAACCCTTTTTTGAGATGTTATGTGTTAGTTCACCACACGCTTGGGCAGATTAACAAAAAAGCCGTTCATATCGATCAATTCACGTGTCATCTTTCTCAGATGTCAACCCCACAGATGAAAGCTGGCTCGTGATATCTTGCAGGCCCTTCAAGTGGGCAGTGTACGAGAGACGCATTTGATCCAATACCGGTACCGCACACCAAGTTGCCTGGAAGTGCCGTACAATGAATGAATGTAATGCCGAAGCTGAAGAAAAGAAGCTGGAACTTGATACCGGTTTCCGTGCAAGGGCATTCAGGGCCTTGGAGTGAGACGAGACGCCTGATTGACTTCCGGAACATTAGCGTTCATCAGAGCGGAGGTGTCGCCAAACTTGTCCCATTTTGCCCTACAGGGACCAGGGTTTTGTCCGTCCGTCACAAGAGATGGATGGGCCCAGCCACAATGCAACAGCCATGACCATGATGTCATTGTTACTGTCCAAGATCCTTCCATGTCAGTCAACCCACGAGGCTGAAACCGTTATCGAAGCCTCTAAGGAGCAAGACATAGAGTAGTAATGGCAAGGGACTTGGTAAAATACTACTCACGGTACAGAACAGGTTAGAGTTGTCAACGTGGCACCCTCTTTCGCCAGTCAGGCTGGGACGCTAGGTATCATCTTTCGAGTCCACTGATGATGCCCCCGCATGATGACTGAGGGAACTTAAGCATCACGAACAGCAAGCTCTTTAGAGGCGTTGACGTCATCGGAAGGTTTTGCTGGTCTCCCCACTACCTTACCTTACCTAAACAATTCAATTTTATACCATTCGGTCGAAACGTTCGATCGAACTTCAAACTCCTCCCTCATGATCGTCCCGTTGTTCCCCGATCGAACATTTCTAGCAATCAATTGGTGGAAGTTTACTAACACCTGTGAGAAATCAGATGGAAAACAGTACTGCCTAGCATCCATATGATCAGGGTCCTGATTATCAGAACTGCATATAGCCGCGAATACTGGACCCATACCTGCGGCATGATTATTATCTTGAGCCTTGTCACACGAATGTGCAAAGGGTACGGAGTAATCAATAACGATTTCTGTTGGTTTACTAGGGTGAGCTTGCACCGGTAACGCCCAATTTGGGAACGAGCCCTACCTTAATCCACCTGTTATATGTACATACAGTAACCCTGTTTCCGTACACTGGGGTCAAATGCAACCCTGTGGTCAGCCTCCAGCATCGGCGAACCCCTACTTTGAATAACCGCAACTTTATTCGCTTTGCTTTGTGGGATCGGAACTAGATCTTGGAGATTCGGTTTTCAGGGGAGGGTGCATTTCAGGAGGCCCAACTGTTCAAGATACTTTCCTGTCTAGGGCTTTCTTGAACAATGGTTTTGCGTATCAAACGCTGGCTTCTTGGAGCGTAGTTCGGGTAATATCGATTCATTCGAATACTTTCACATTACCAGACAAGCTGGCGCTCTTCGTCGTGGTGCTCCCTCAACTACGATCTCCATCAACTGAGCATGCCTATCATTAAGCGGCTGATGCCGTACACTACACTACACTACACTACAGTCAAGCCACCACCACACCCCTCTCCGTTGCTGAGGGCCACTGTACTGGGTACTTTCAGGCGTGTTCAATCTCATCACCGGCAGTTCGAATGTATCATCAATATCGTCATCCTTCCGCACTCGGCTACCAGCTCGTGTTGCAAGCGAGTGTTATCTTTAGGACCTCAACTTCAACTTGTGAGAAAACTTCGTTTTTTTTTTCCAAGGATGATGAATCAGGGTCCTCTTCCAGAAGCCTTCCGTATCACAGGGCTTAAAACTTTGACTGGAACTGCCATACCTAACGGGGACACGATCAGGTTGATCACTACATCATCGCACGTCCTACCCATGCGCATCTGCCCTCCTTGAAGGGTTTTTTGGAGATTCCTGCCCCCCTTCTCCACGCTTCCTGTACCTGAATTGGTGTCTTCCGTCGTGACCGTAAAGTCTTGATGGTGAAGGGAGCTGATCGTTGCTTGGACAGTACGTCCGCTCCGGCAATCTCAATGGCGCGTTGCTGGTGAGAGACAGGCCAAGATGCCCAAAATAAGAAACGCATTTACTCTCTATTTTTGGAAATGCTATTTTCATCCCAACAGCGACGATCTCGGTTGGATATGCACATGGGTATTTGAACTCCAAGGGTTGTTGGGGACGGTGGTGGTGGTGAGTTTGGTGATAGTTGCATGCAAATGTCGATGATGTTGACGCGTCCTTTATCGACTCATGATCACCGCCATTCTGCTATCAAAGGGAATGATTTGCGCTGAATAACTGAATCGTGTCGTGTCATTTACTAGGATATGACTCGTGTGCTTTTGCTATCATGTCCCTCAACATTACAGCTACAAGTCGTCTCGGGGCTGCGCTGGTTATCCGCATCATCTAGGTCACAATGGATTGCATTCCAGGCCAAAGTCAGAATGTTCCTCATCTTCTGAATAGCATTTCTAGAGAATAGTGGCTTTGAAGGCAAGGATAAGTAAAGCATAACAGGGGTAGATACGTGTGGCCTTCCACATCATAAGGTATACATCTGCTCTCCATCACTGACCAAACGGAATGAACAGGGAACGTCGGATAAGGAACCTAGGAACATAACAAAGGTGCTTGTAGGACTTCTCTGTACCGGGTAGATATCACGGGCAAACAAAACAAAACAAAACAAAATCTTTAATCAATCGGTTGTGAGAACTGGAGAATTTGGACTAGGCGCTATAGGGTAGGCAAGCATCCACCACCACCCAGATACATGTATTGAACATGTAGAAATCCTGCGTATCAAAGATGCCACAACTGTAGCGCTACATTGGTGCAGGGCTTGTTGAGCCGGAGAATACTCCATATTGAGGTCAGTTCCATTTAGCTTACGGTTGAGCAAAGACTAGGCCGGTGGACTATCTTATAGATCAGTTATAATACGGCAATTAAGTCAAGGTTGAGGTTATTCCATGACACTCCTCGGGGAAGGGGAAGGGGAAGGCATTATAACGCTCCATATTATGGTTACTATTTTTAACCAAGGTATCTCATATCACTGGAGACTTTGATGAACTGTATGTATACGGTTACTCAAGAAGTGTGCCCAGGCAGCCATGCAATTTCTGATCTTAGATGCACATGCCTAAGTCAGCAGTAAGTTAGGATAGGGACGTTCATATCAGAGTCTTGTTAGACGAAAAGGAAAGGCTTGATAGAATTAAGTGTAGTCTAGGAGATGGAGGACTATTTATAATAGCCTCGAAGATGATCGCCTCTATAAGCATCATCAGTTTGTCCTTACTGCCTAGATAGGCTGTGAAGATATTAGGTAGCAAGGCAAAGAGCAAAAAGCTACAAACATAGGTATAG